CCCCCGCTCCCCCCCCCCACCTTTTTCATACCGCCTGAAAAGCTCATCAGCCACAAGCGTTATGTCTGTGGTGCTAATGAAGTAAATGGCTCCGTCTGTAATGAGTTCTCCATACAGCTGGCTGAATAATCTTCAGTTGTAAACCAGATCATGTCATTACCCTGCTTAAAACCTTCAAAGGCTCCTCAGGTTTAGAATGAAACCTAAGGTCTTTACTGTGGCTCAGGCCCTGCACCGTGACCTCAGCTGACCTCTCAGGCTTCATCACCTAGTCTTCCTCTTGTTCCCACCCTCAAGTCCTGCCGGCTTTATTTACCATCTTTCAACACACCAAGCTTGTTCCTGCTGTAGGGCCTTGCACTTGCCGTTCCCCCTGGAATGTCCTGTTTTCAGATAATTGCATGGCTGTCTCCTTCCCGTCGTTTGTGGCTCAACTCCAGTGCCCCTCTCAAAGAGGCTTTCCCAGGCCACGCTAGTTAAAGCAGCTCCTTTTTTTTTTTTTTTAAATGTTTATTGAGAGGAGAGAGCAGGGGAGGGGCAGAGAGAGAGAGGGAGGGAGACAGAATCCCAAGCAGGCTCTGAGCTGTCAGTGCAGAGCCTGATGTGGGGCTCATACCCATGAACTGTGAGATTGTGACCGGAGTTGAGACCAAGTGTCAGATGCTTGACCTTCTGAGTCACCCAGGCACCATAATGCAGCTTTTCCTTACTCACATCACCCTGTTTTACTATCTTGGTAACATTCAGAACTTAAATTGGTTTTAGACTGTGCTGCTCTCTCATCATCCCTCAGTAGATGGACAGCTAGTTGAGGGCAGAGCTCTCACTTGCCTCACATTGACCTTTGAGTGTATTCAAAAGAGTAAATTCACATAAAGGGCTTAACATAGTACCTAGAGTCTGAAGAGCACTCCATGACATAAACCTTTAGTAGTATACAGTAATAAGGAGATGAGTCTTTATTCTTAACATAATATTTCAGGTGCACACACACTTGGAAAGGTATAAGAAATGCTATAACAAAATACATTTTTACCTGTTTCCCAGCTTAAGGAGTCAAACATCAGAGATGCCATTGTGAGGCCTTGTGTACCCCTGCCTCAAACCAAGTCCTTTCCCCTTGTAACTACAACCCTAGATTCAGGGTTTATTTTTCTGTGCGTGTTTGTACAATTTAATATCTGTGTGTCTTTAAACAATGCATAGTATTATGTGTCATGTTCTACAGTTTTATATAAATGAAATCTGTGCAAAAAAGAGTTGGCCATAGTAGGTATGAGACTGCTGTCCTTTAGGAAGGCCTGTTTGCATGGTTGGCCCTTGACTGGTCTCTAGGAACTTGGATTTCAGAAGAGTTCTGCCATCCCCTAAAGAGTGGTTCTTGGTGCCTAAACTGTACAATGTGCTTTATGTTGAATATCTCCTTTCCTTCTGGAGTCTAGTGTTTTTGGTACTTGACTAGCCCCCAATAAATACCCTGGGCATTGATTCTCTAATGAGCTTCCAGTGGGCAGTATTTCACGTGTGTTGTCCCAGCTCTCCTGGGGAAACTAAGTGCATCCCACGTGACTCCACTAGGAGAGGATTCCTGGAATCTTGTGCTCCAGACTTTGCACCATGGACCTTTTCCCTTGGCCAGTTTTGCTTTGTACCCTTTCACTGTAAGAAATCATAGCTGTGTGTAGGCTCTATGCAAAATTCTGTGAGTCCTCCTAGTGAGTCATTGAACCTAGGATGATCTTGGGGACCCCGGACAAGGTAGCATACCGGACATATACTTAAAAGGTGAGGCGAGCATGGCACCTGTGGCACAAAATCTGAGGAGGCGTTCACTCTCAGGGTCACACAAGTGTCCAACCTATACAACGCTGAGGGTGAGTGCCTCCTAGAATTTTCATTCTAGACACCTTGCTTGCTCCACTCTGGTTACAGCCGTTACCTCTGAAACTTGCTTTTTTCGTCCAACATAATGCCTTTGCAGCGTATATGTGTTTACGTATGTGTAACATCGCTGCAAAAGCATTATGTTGGACCCAAAAAAATACATTTTCATTGCTGTAGCTATGTTGTCTGATGTGGTAGCCATTTTCTACTTGTGGCTATTTGGATTTCAATTAATCAAAATTAAATACAAAGTTCAATTCCCAGTCACTCTTAGCCACATTTTATGTG